CCCCAAAACCCCAAAACCCCAAAACCCCTCTTTTTAATGCGCAATTTGAATAATAGATTAAAAAATAACATGAAATTTCTAAACACAATCTTCAAAGAGATCCTTGTCTTCTTGGAATTTAGAGATATCACTGGGTCACAGTTGGCTTTTGTCAATAAGCAGTTTTATCACAATATTGTGTAAGTTTATAATAAAGGAATTTTAAGAAGTTTGAGGAAAGCTTTCGCTGATAAGTTATGAAATTTTAGCTTTATGATGGCTAACCTCTGGGCTTCAGATGTATTTTCCTTGATAAAATGTATCTGCCATATTCATAGTATTATTTCCTCTCAAATACAGAAAATTGCCTTTGTTTAAAATTTGTTCATGATGTGATGCATTACATCACACTTATAAAAATTACTTAATTTTCTATAGAGAAGACAACACCCTTATCCGTAGAATTTTGATGAACTACCTTGTCATCATAACAGATTACGAAAAGGAGGAGGAATACCAGAGAGCAATCCTTCTGGATCTTCATGAACGTAGATGCTTAGCGGAGAACGCTAAGGAAGAATTTGAAGAGTAACGTCATTGCTGTAAAACATAGGGTCAAGTTCTCCAAGTATTATGACAGTCCGGCTAAGGAACTAGCTCCACTGTTTAACAAGTTCTCAAGGAAATATGACAAGAAGCAGTTGGTCTGTACCTGGAGAACCACTGCAGGTTATGAAACCGAGGTTAATGAAATCGTCAGAATCTTCATGGATGATAGGTCTATCTATTACTCTGCAGAGCAAGGTTATTTCCCAAATGGAGTGTACTGAGTCACCGGTATTGCTTGAGAGCAGAATTTCGAAGACCATGTTGTAGCACGGAAGTTGCTGAGAAATGTTCAAGAACTAGACCATATTTTTGGATATGAAGTTGAAGAAGAGAATCCCATTTGGATCGAGTCTTCTGAGTTCAATGTGGGAGAGGTTCAAGATAGAGAGGTAGCCTAGTCTTGTGATGTTTAGCTGTTTCCAGAGTCACTTAGATCCAGAGATCCCAAAATCCTCAACTATTGGCTGAGAAACAGACTTGCTTTTTCAATATGGAAGACAGGAATGGTAGATGAAGATCAAGAAAGTTCTCAGAACTCTACTGGATTAGTACTCTTTTCAATCATATTTTTAGCAAAACCACAAGATCATAAAATTTGATGTGTCTATTCATCAGGCATTACATAGAGAACAGTTATTATGTTGGAATAGATTTAGGGTAAATTTTTTCTCAAATTATAGGTTCTCAAATGTAAATATGGAAGCTGCCCAGTCAGTGCTTTTGCTGTACTGTCTCATGACTTCCCTCTTAAGCCTGAAAATCACCCTCTTGCTATACTTCTAAAGAACCTTTATAACAAGGAAATCAGGCCAAATATTACAAGGGAGAGCTGTATCGATGAGCAGGGCGAGATGTTGAGGTATTCCATTCTCTATTTGGAACATGAAATATTAACGATTTAGTAAACTTCTCAAAAAGCTATCAGCTAATGGCATCATCCCAGATGTAGCCAATACATCTGACAATATGTTTGAGCTCAACGTGGTAATTCTTCAATTAAAATACTTTAGAAATACTACTACAACAAGTTTGATGGACAAATGGGAGGTACTCTCTTGCTAAGCTCTAGACTATCAACAGCACAATGAGGCTTTGAGAGACTCAATCTCTCGTGTGACTGGTGTAGATACCTTACCCCTGGAGCTATACGATAAACTTGGGTCAATGTAAGCTTCTATTTCAGCTATTATAGGTATGACTACTACAGGTTCAGACTCAATTCTATCGTCTTTGGCCTTAAGGTAAGTCAATGCTTGTTCATTTTTATAGTGCGATGAGATCTACAATTTCCACCTCAAGCAACTTATCACAGGAAGATATGTCTCAATTCTTGGTAGATCTAAGAACTAACTTCTAGCACTTGACATCAACAATATCGACAATGACCCTAATGCAAATGTTGATTTTGGAGGAGTTCAATTTTATGGCAATATGATTCCAAGCCCTCTGACAGTAGATAAGTAAAAGTTCTTTCAATTTTATGGCAGATTAAAGGGGTTTTGGGGTTTTGGGGTTTTGGGG